CAACACTTTAAAGCAGGCTAAATGCTTTTGCACCTCCTTAATGGTGTTGGTGTTTGCATGCCTCGGTGGCGTATTGCACATTAATTCCAGCCACTGTAGGAAATTTGGTGGCGTAATGTGCCTTAAATGACTTGGGGCACAGCAACCTAAAACTCCTTCAGGGAGTTTGTTTGCTGCCCCTACAGCTGCGGAGCAAAGCACTGGGCTCTGTGCAGCTCCACGGCTCTGCAGGAAGCCCTGCAGGCAGCCTGACAGGAGCCTGGGAAAGCAGGCTCTACCCAAGAAAAGCAGCGAGCCTGATCTTTTTATTTTCCTCCCCTGGAGCCTGCCTGCCTGAGCTGCATGGGGGCCCAGTGCTTCCCTCTGTGGCTGTGGTGTCCCCCCAGGACCACCTGAGCTAGGTGCCTGTGGGTGGGTACCACCTGGGGGAGGGCTGCCACTGCCACGGAGGGAAGCACCAGCGCACCCCACCCCTCTGCAGCCCAGGGATCACTTCGCCTTCTGGCAGCTCGCCCTCCCCTCCCTGCTGGAAAGACAGGTAAATCAGTGGGGGGTGTGCACAACATGGGGGTTTAATCAGCCCTGAATTGAAGCAGTGTGTTTTTTTTTTTTTTTTAAACCCACTGCTTCAATTTAGGGCCCCCATTTAATCTATGGTATCTTTTGATCCTAGCTGACTTCCTGCCCTTAGGGCAGGGGCCTGGACTCGATCTCCCGAGGTCCCTTCCAGCCCTAATGTCTATGAAATCTATAAAACAGTGAAGTATTAAGCACGGGGGGAAGAATGCTCACGACTAAACTTCATGAGGGTTCAGTTGCCTCCACTTCCCCATCAAGGATCTGTATTCTGAACTTCCATCCAGGTAAAATTGCACAGTACTAATTGGAAAGCAATTATTACAGTCAACTAGGCCATTAAAGACTTAAAATGAAGTTAATTAGCTTTACTACTATGGATCAGGTGCAGCCAAGTCAGGGAGAGAGCTCGAAGGCGCAAAAAAGGAGGAAGAGGAAACTGACTTTAACATATATTAAAAGCAGGAAGGCATGCTATAAAGATATAAATCCTCAATTTGCTGTAAATGCCCAAGGAATAAATTCCTCCAGCATGCTCCACATTGTACAAGACTCAGAGAAAGACGGTCTCTACCTCGGGGCACTTACAATTTTAAAGCAATCTTGGAGCAGATCCTCAGCTGGGGCAAACTTTTCTCTCTCTAACTTCAGTTTTATACCAACCAAGGATCTGAACCCTAAGTTCTGGTGTTCCCTAACTAACCATCCTCAACTGCAGAGTGCCTGCTCTGACATGAATGTCTTCTGAGTAGATGACTTTATACCAAAATGCTGACCCCTGTGTGATAAGAAGATATTTTAGGGCCTGAAAAGAGCGCATAGAATTTCATTCTATTACTGAGCAAGGCTCTAGATCGCATCTGTATTGGTTGGCTTGAAACGCCTGCCACCCAAATATTGAGACTAATTTTTTTTTTTTTTTTAAAGAGTCTGTACCCCTCTAAAGGGGACATTAAGCTAAAGAAGATGTCAACCCTTATTTGTCTTACTATTATGGGCATAAGGGCTGCAGAAATTAACATAAAACCCACTAAGGACGGGCAAGTCCCCAGTGTCTGGCAACTGGTAATATAATGCCAACAGATCTCTCTCCTTAGTGGGATTCAGAGGGTAATAGTAGAATGTAAGGCAATATCCAGGAGAATCTGGATGGCAGCCGCGAATCATTGTATTCCAGTGTCGGGCAAGAAGGGAGGACTGGTCCACATCGCTTCTTAGGAGTGGTTGTCCAGTGTCAAGGACTATAGGTAAAGAGGTCTGCCAGTCTGACCAACATGGTGTGAATCATGGAAAACAGGATGCAAAGATTTTTTTAAAAAGGTAATCCAAATAAGTTATCATAGTCTAAGGCATAAAGGAAAAAGAGGAAATACTAAATTAGATGAGCATAAGGTTGACAGTCCTGTGATCCAGGGTTTGAGGCTTGAGAGAGACCATTTTCTTGACATCTCTCAGATAGTGAGAATCTTTCCCCTGATCCTACCTGTGCAACTTGAAAGGAAATACTGAGCCAGGGTTAAACCCGTGTTTCTAAAGGGTCCCAACATGCTTTCAGAAGTGTGTGCGTGTGTGTGTGGAGGGGCGTTGCAAGAAAGCACATGGATTGTGCAGCCTGCCACCTTTTCCTAAGCTTACTTCTGATGGGCATGTTATGTGCAGCACAAGACTCTGCACGGTTTCCCTTCACTCCCCAATCCTTTGGGGGTATGGGAATAGCAGTGCCAATTGTGCGGGCCGGGACCGACCCAAGCCCTTTTCCGCGCTGCACGCGGGCTGTGGCCAGCAGCCCGGGCACGCCGGGTTGGAGAGGGAAGGCCGTCGAGCTGGAATTAGGCACAAACGTGTAGCGGTAGTTTTAAAAGATTGTTTACTTACACCGAGATGGCAGTGGTGCAGGCTGGAAAGCTTGCTTGAGTTGCGGTTACAGACAGAAAACAAAACAAAACTCGAACCTGCAGGGCACGAGGGTACGTCGCAAAGGGTTCCGGTGATGGGAAGATATAAAATACGAGGGTACGTCGCAATGGGTTTCAGCGACGGGAAAATAAACCTGCAGGACTCGAACCCGGGTAGAAGAGCTCTAAGGCCGGTCGTAAGGGCTCACACGAAGTTTGCTAGGCTCTGTGGGTCCGGTTCTTTTGCGCGCAGGAAGGGATACGTCTGCTTTGCGCTCGGCGACGGGGAGAGGCTAGAGGTTGATCAGACCTCCGTTGCCTGCTTTAAATGCACTGGGTCCGTAAGGATCCTCAGTGCTTAGAGATCTTCACACAGCGTGAAGTCTCCTCCTCCCTTGTTCGTGGAGTCCTCCAACTTGGGCGGAAACCACTCAAGCCTCTTATACGGCTAGCAAGCCAATCGCTAGCTGCCACGTGTGAATAATTTAGAACTGGCCAATAATGGGACTCGAATTAGCATACAAATGGCGGGAACTCTTTGCAAAGAGCATTTCTGTGCTGCAGCAAAGAAATGCACCCTGCAAAGAAAGCTTCAAATTGGCGGGAAATTCTCCCTTGCACCGGGGTTCTCTTTTGCAGCAGAAAACTCCACCGTGCAAGGAAGCTGTAATTTAGCGGGAACAGTTTAGCAGTGCCGAAGCACACAAAAACAAAAATCACACCCTTTGGGTTGTGACACCAATGACTGCCTTCAGTGACATGTGGGAATTTTTACACCTCTGGGGAACAGGCAGACATGCACCCTTGCTTTACCCTGTACCAATTCATCTCTTCTCATCTAGATTTGAAGATGCTGTCCCTTTTTAAAAAAAATATACATCTTAACTGGTTTTCTAAGTCTTTTACTCTTTGCTCTTGAAGAGCAGTGGCTTTGGCCTGCCTTTTTTATTTTCTGCCACAAGTGTGAGACTGAGGAAATCGTGGGTGTGATGCCAGCTTGCTCAGCACATTCTGAAATGCAAGGTGGGCTTTTGAATCCCAGAACAAACATGGTACCGTCCATCTCCAAACATCAAGCTTGCCTTTTGTAAGGCAGCCAATATGGTGTGTGACACTCGCAGTGTCTGAACGCAATTCTGGCCCTGTTTCTTGCTGCAGAGAGCTGAATGACTTTCTTGAGGGAACGGAAGGGAATAATAGTCCGTGATGTTCTTGTGCCATTTTAAGCAGAAGTAGAATTTTCCCATTCCCTCCGAGAACAAAATGTGGAGCAAGTTTAATACAATGCAGAGCTGGATGAATTACTCAGATATTGATGACTGGGATTAGTCTCCAAGGTGGCTGCACTGTAAGAAAGCAATTGAGGCTGGTAATGTGGACTAAAGCATTGTTCTTCTCTTACTGATCTCAGTTCTTTGAATAGTGTTTCTGAGAAGCTGCAGCTGTTCGGAGAGAACTTCCTTCCAGAAGACACTTACTTTTTTTGTATAAGGCTCTCATTTCATAATCATGCAGCCTACATGATAAATACCTAATAGCTTTTATAGACACTGTTCATATACTTATGATGCTTTTCTTATTTAAGGTATGGACAAACCTAGCAATTATACTGGCATTATTTCATATTATTTTTATACATTTCATATTATAGTTTTCCAGTATAGGCTATTCCAAAATCACCGATTCTATCTGTTGGCTCCCATGTCAACCTAAGCTTTTATTTCATGTTAAAGTTATTACAGTTAACTTGCTACCAGTATAGCAGCAGACACATGTAAGAGTTAAACTAGAAAAGCTGATGCATGCTTGCAGGCAGCACATTTCTCTCATCCTTTTAAAGATGCTTTAAAACTGCCTGCCCCTAGGTTTAGTCTTTGTACATACAGGTTTCCTTTGCTTTATGCTGTACACATGCTCTTGGAAAACGGTGCATAACTCTAATTCGCATAAAGGGAACCCACTTTACAATATAACAAATAGGGATATGTTCCAGGACCTCAACTGTAGTGACACCCCCCCGGGCCCATTTCTACCATTTGTACAAGAACATTTTGGTACTTTCCAACAGTGGGCAGTACACACAAGCACAGGGCACTGTCATAATGGGGATGACAACTATAGAAACACGCATCGCAGACAATGAGCAAGGAGTGCAGACCTGCACAGGAGATGATATTTTGGTGCTCATTACTCCTACAATGCACCGCACAGAGCAGCTGACTGCGGGTTTCCACCATACAGATCACATAAGTGTGAATTTACCGCGCATATAATGAATTTTTAGTATAAAAAGGGTCATCGCATAATTCGCACATACAGAATCCGCATAAAGCGGGAGAAACCTGTAGTAACTTCCTTTGGGCGTTCCTCTGATTATTTCTTCTTTGCTGATTTGGGTCCAGTTCTAGACTATTGGATAGAGAATGTCAGCAAATGGTCTAACTCTAGGATGGCCCCAGTGCAGTTCCTCCAGTAAATTGTGTGACAGCGGTGATATAGATGCTAATGGTTTCCCTGCCTTCCTTTCAGTATCAGATGGTAGCAGACTTATTTCATGATGAAAAGGATTCCATGCCTGCTCCTCCTGTTGGAAAGGGAACCTCCTCCAAAATCAGTGTTCGTTCTGCCAGACCCGCTGTGAAAGCTGCCAATAAAGAGCACAAGAAAACCGTGGGACATCAGGTAAAGTCTTTCCTGAATTAGAATTCTGACTTGTGTTTTACTTAGCAGCTTTCCTGCTCTGTTTCTTCTGCAGCATTAAAAAAGAACTAGCTCAATGCCCACCATACACGGAGCAGCCACATCCATCCTTAGCTATTAAGCCAGCCCAAGCTTGACTTGTAGAACAAGTCTCCTTCTCACTCCCAAGACCCACCCCCAGCCTTTCAGTCGCTCTCCCTCCCTGGCTGTCTGTGGCCCTGACCCCTGGAGCGAGCATCTAGTTTCAGTCCTGAGAAGAGGGATTTCATGTTCTCTTTGGATGACCCAGTACAACCCACAGTTGCAAACAGCACAGCAGACAGTCTCTTCAGTAAAGGCAACTGGGGCAAAGGCCTCATCGTCAGTCCCTTCCAAAGGGTGTAATCAGTCCCCCCGCTTCCCAATCCAGCCCACAGCCTTGAGCACCCCCAGAGATGCCCTCCATTTGTTTCAGTCACCTGGCTCTTCTGGGCAGGAGCTGCCAAGCTGCTTGTTTCCAGCCTGGTCTCCCGTTGTCGCGCACATTTCCTCTGGACACCTCTTGAGCCATCAAGCATCTCTGTGTCAATAAAGCCATTCTCAAGGCTCTGCTAATGCTGGTTTTATCCTAGGTGTAGCCAGTCTGGGCATTTTAACCCTTCATTTTCTGTGCACAAGTTAATGTGGTAAACCGAATAACAAAATATAATATGACTGCAGTTAACATGGAAATATCATAATAAAATGTGTCCATCCCAGTCCAGATGGAGAATTTCACTTATTTGGCCGTCCTGTTTCCAGCACCCAAGCTGGGTCACGTGTATGTGGTCACGATGTTGCATATTGATGTGTCAACATACTTTTTACTTATAATGTATTTCCTACATCTGAGTATGAAATATTTTATTGAGCAGATCAGCCTTAGAAGAGAAAGTATGGATAGAATCTAGAAAAGTAGCACCGGAAGGGACCTCACAGGGTCATTTAGTCAAGCCCCCTGCTTCAGGCATTAACATCCCTATCCAAACCGTCCCATACAAGTGCTTGTCTAACCTATTTGTAAAACTGTACAAACAACACTCACTCAGCTACAAAGCACATTGCCCCAAAACACCAGAAACATGCCACAAGTAAAGCAGGGGTTCAAGCGTACTGATAGGGAGAAACAGGAACGGGCAGAAGAGATGAGAAGAGTTTGAGGTGGAGCAATGCAAAATAGATTGCAGAGTCAAGGGACTGCAATGCTGAGGAAGCAAAAACAGAACAGAAAAAGAGCAGGTGGGGGGAGAGATGGGTGTGAGTTCAGAGAGGTAGGGTGCATTTGAGTCCAAACTGAGAATTGATGTGTTCAAGGAGATGTCATTTTTTTTATTTAAAATCTGAGGCACAGCTTGAGCAGACTTTACTGAGAATGGAAGATAAGGGAGATAGTCGCGTGGCCCTGCTTACTGGAGTGCCAGGAGCAATCTGGGTACAGCATTTGGAATTCCCTACCCCGGAAAGCTTAGAGAGCATGGGTTCAAAAAAAAAATTAGGTCAACTTCAGTAGTCATGATTGATTAGCAAGGATTAAGGCACTGAAGGTGGTCAGTTTGGGACACATCTTTGTGACTAAGCATTCTGTCTCCAGAGGTTCAGGGATGCTTCTCAGCTTTCTCTAGAGCTACTGAAGATTGATATGAGGGACCCTGCTTGAATCTTGTGGTTGAAAGAATGATGCCTGAAACGGTACAAAATATTCCCTTGGCATTACACTACAGTAACACATTGTGCTGCTCGAGTCCATCCATGTATTGTGTAGAGCACAAAGTAATACAGTACCAGCTGGGCTGATGAAGCGTCATATTGTGTTTCAGCTCCACAGGCTGATCCAGGCTTTTGTTTGTTGCTTACATCTATTTGTGTGTATGTGGGGTGGTGGGTCTTTGATTTGGAGCTGGGCTGTCCAATGGATAGCCCACTGGCCAGGTGTGGCCCACAAGGAGTTAAATTGCCACCCACCATGCGGTTGTCAGCATGGCTGCCAGAGCTGCTGCATTGGTGCAGCTCTGGAACCAGATAGTGAATGCTACTTCCACTTATCCCAGCATCCCCTTGCCTGCTGCCAAATTTGGGGTCTTAACTTGCTGTGGCTACTCAAATCAGCAGTGGAGGAGAAGAGGTATGGGGTTCCAGCAGCTGCAATGACAAGCCACTGCCATGCTGCTGGAGGTGGACGGTCTGGCCAGCGAGAAGCCCTGTGGTCTGGATCTGATGTGCGGGGCTGGCTCATAGCATGATGGTCTCTCTCTTGTCTCTTTCAGTTCCGTAACTCCTTGCATTTGCTCATGGAAACGCTGAATGCCACCACTCCACACTATGTGCGCTGCATCAAGCCAAATGATGAGAAACTCCCCTTTAAGTAAGTGTGCTTTTCAGGGGTTGGACTAGATGACCTCCTGGGGTCCCTTCCAACCTTAATTTTCTATCATTCTGTGAAAATGCCACCATCTTTAGCTGCTGTCTCTTTTAGAGAGACTCAGACCTTACAATATGAAAGCAGATACCTGGAGTTTTGTTTATCTTGAAGCCATAGGGCCTTTTACAAAACTGTTTAGATGTGTGCTATGAAGTATTTAGGTGATGAGTTCCTTCCAGCCCCAGTGACCTCCACAGACATTGAGGCTGTTCAGAAACTGATAGGTCCATAAAAGATTAACATCCATTCTAGTTTGCTGGAATCCTTCTCTTGGGGTGGGAGGTTGGGGAGGGGTTATACTCCTGCACATTACTGCAACATTAGGATGCTTGGAAATTATTTTGTGACTTGCTTTAAAAATGCAGGGTGTGCTTACAAGAGTGAGGGACATGGAAGGTAGGGACTGCCCCAAACTCTTATCATAGACTGTACCAATTGCCTATTTTGTTTGCAGGATGATTTCAGGTAAGTGATAATTTCCTCATTAATTGAGAGATGGGTCTCCACTCCCTAATACAACTTTCCATCTCTAATTACAATGACAGAATGAGACCTGTCAGTAAAATCTTCTCTAGCTGTCGAAGCAAATAGAAGAAAGAATTCTCCTTGTTTCTCATATTTCTTCCCTCTGGTAGAATATTAATGAGAATGCTAGGGGCTTTGTGGATAGTTTATTCATTAAGTACTGGCTAATAAATCAGCCACATGCATGTTCTACCATAATTGCAAGGCTCTGACACAATAATATTTGACCTCACATTTTGAAAGCTCTCTGTAATCATTTCATAAAGAGATGGCCCTGACCTCCCTTAGCAGTAATGTAATGTGTACTGTAAGTATGATGTTCAAATGATTGTACAGAATTAATTAGCAGTCTTGTACTACCTCTTGGAAGAATTTATTTTGTTCTAAGTTAATGGAGGCTCTATCATTAATATAGAGGGTTCTTCATTGCTTTTAAGCATCTTGTGTCCAGTATAGGCTATGATTGAAGGCACACTTGATCTGTGGTTCAGCCTGGGATGTTAAGATCATGCAAGGCAAAGGAACTATGAATACATTAATTGTCTTCTGCAATATCCCAATGACAAGAGAAAGTGTTTGTATTTCATGAGGTTATCTTCAAATCCATACATCCACTTTTTTAACAAACTGATACTTAGACACACTTTTAAATCTGGGAGTCAGTTTGTAATTGCAGACTACATACCTGTCCCTATGTCTGCAAATTCTGATCAGGTAATTTTACCTGCTTTGAATAATTTTTGTAGTTACAAGTCAGGTACCTAAAAGTTTCAAAGATGTGCTGTCTTGCTGAGCTATAATATAGCAAAAATTAACTAAAAATCTTGCATTTTAAAGTGCATTTACTTGATTTTGTTTTAGGTGAGGTGCACAGAGGGGTTTGCTAACTCTAAATAGCAGAAGCAGAATAGATATATTTTGAGCTTTTCATCCAAGGAGTCATAAGACCGCATTGGTCCAGTTGGCTCAGATTTCAGCTTAGCTTTAACTGAGTCTTAATGTTTTCACCTTCAGGTTTTAAGTCCAGTTCTCCCTCCCCCTTCTCATTATGCCCAGCAATTTCAGGTACAATTGATTATTCCCTTTTATTACACTGTGTCCTTAGTCTAAATAATTGTAGTCTAGTCTAGCCTAGGCCTACAGGTACAAAACCAACTGTAAATTGTGGGCAAGAAAAGTGACTTGGTTCTTGCCTGTAATTGTTAGTCTATTCGAGCTTGGTCCCAGAATGGCTTCAATGTTTGACGTGATGCTTCCTGACTGCAAAGTGGTAAGGTTATCAAAAGTCAGGCTTTCAGAAACAACTGTCAACCCAAAATAGGTCCAAGAATTGTTCTTCTGGCCTAATGTGCCTGTGAATCTCATTTTCAGGGCAGGTGTCTGTGTACTCGGTATGTACATCATAGTGTCATTGCAAGAACTTGAAAATAGTGGGAAACAGACAAATACTCTGGATCGAACTGGTTGATGCTGCAGCCAGAAAGTACCATCTTGGGCTTGTTATTGTCACCATTCGCTTGCAAGAGGCTGATCTCTCATACCTTCGTGAACCTCCTTGGGCTTTACTTAATTTGTCTGGGATTGAAGATTCAGGAGTCCTAATCCACACAAGCCTTGCTGCTGCCAGTTTACACAGGTGTTGTCCCTGTAGTCACTTTAAAAAAATGTTGAGAAGTGGCAAGTCAGAACTGTATGAGCCTTAATTCAGGAGGAATTTGTCACGTGTACATTGTGACATTGTCACATATGCAAGCACCCTTGGGTATCATGAACACCGTAACACTTAACTGCAGAAAAGGGAATTAACACAAGTGACTTGGCCAAAGCAGATACAACCTATCATCCCTAGATTTCCTATACGGTTTCAGCTGGAGAGGTTCTTCATCTCCTTCTGTACCGAGAAGTGTTGTTGGGGTAGAGTGATTATTTCCCCATGCACCCCGTTCCCTGCTGCTCCCCCCCTCTTCCACAGGTGGCTATTGTTTAGAGGAGATGGCTACAATTTGGAGAAATCCCTATAGATTCAGCACAAATTACTTGGGGATCCTCCTGCATAAAAGCTGCTATATCAGTGTAATGCTGTTACTGTTATTTATTATGACTATTACAACTGACCCCTGTTGGATTCCTGCTTGGAGCAAGTGACAAGCTGTATCTCTGTTCTTTCTTGTGTTTTTGTTCTTGGTATTGTAATGGATCGCTTGCTGCAGACACGACAGAACTGATGAGATTTTTAAAAATGCAGAAAGTAGCTTCAGCATATTTCTTATGCAAGTTTCACACCGTGGAATCTTACTTAAAAATTATTCATGAATTCTTGATCTGCATTCATTAGGGGCATTCAGAATCCGAACATATGCATAAGAACATGAGTATTGTCTCCTTACTGCCTTATCAACTACTACCACAGAAACATCTTTTCATGTCTCTGTAGGGTTTGATAAAGTTGCTCACCATCATGGTATTGGAGTACCTCCCCAGGTCAAAATGTGGCGCTTGTTTCCATTATAGGCCTCTTTCTCTACTGCACTGCACCAGTTTTACCCCAATGCAACTCAACTAAAATCAAGTGTCGGATGCCAGTTAGCGGAGAATCTAGGATCTTTGCATGCTCAGGATGGCATAAGATTAGGTGCTTATGCCAACATTAAACTCACTGGTCTCCAAAGCTAGTTAAATAGAAAGTGATCACTATTCTGATCTTAAATTTTTAATAGTGCTGAGCATATGGGATGTGCAGGGTTTTTTTCCTATTCAATCAAACATTATCTTTCCCTAAGTGTGGTGTTGCCCTTTTATAGACACAAATAACTATGATGCTGTTATAAAATGTACCACATTAAGATGCTTAGATCAATGGGGTTTTTGACTGTGCAGAAAAGCAGCTTGTCCTGTTTGTCTTCGGTAGCTTTGTCTATAACTTTGTGTTGGTTTACACACAGGAAGGATAGGGTTCATGGAAATGCTGCATATCCGATTATTCTGTTTTGTTGAACACCCCTTGACTGAGTGGGTATTCTTAATGGAAAGCTCTGTTGCACTCTAAAAGTAGATCAGTTCAGAAATATGCAAACAAGACAAGTAGGGATGCACTGATAAAGATGTTTTTGGCTGATTTTACCAATGGCCAATTTTTTAATTGGTCATATCGGCTGGGACCCGCGCCGCTTCCTCCTCCCCCACCCCTCCAGACTTACCACCCGCGTGTGGCTCTCCAAGCTGTCAGACTGCGTTCCTGGCTGCGTGCATGCACGCGGCATTTATTAATGACATTTATTTGGCTACACCAGCCAAAAAAAGCCGATTTGTTGATGATGTCAATTTTCCTTTTATTGCTGCTGATCTGATATGGACTGATATAGCAGTGCACCTCTAAAGATGAGGAACATTTATGGAAGTTATCAAATGGAAAGGCAAGACTAACTAATGGTTACACTGAAAGTTGGAGAGAAAATAGATATGGATAAGACCTGCCTTGCAGTGTCTGATCATCTGTTAACCATCAACCCAGCTCTTTTCTTTGAAAACATTTAGCAATTTTATACGGGTCAGATGTCAATCCACTCTCCAAAAGGATTTCTGGTCATGAAGTTCTAGGAAACAGTAAATTCATATTTCCAAGTGTAAATGGTACTATATTTCATTTGGCACGTGCTGTGTGTACTAGCAGAAACGAAATCTAGATGTCTGGGAAAGGTTGCCAGTGTGAACATTTTTGTCATGTTCCTTCTGATACGCTGCTGCTAGAATCCTTTTCATCTTTTGTCCTGAATGGGGGAAAACACTCTGCTTATCAACTTTCTAACGTGTAATTACAGATTTGATCCAAAGAGAGCAGTCCAGCAGCTAAGAGCCTGTGGTGTGCTAGAGACCATCCGCATCAGTGCAGCTGGCTACCCATCCAGGTACTGTACTGACAATGCTTGTGTTGGACGGTTTGATGTGCTTCTATTAAGTGAATTTGGCAGTTGGAGAAGGAAGGTCAAAATGGAAATCTTCACTATAAATAGGATTTAATAATTAGCTTGTCTGGTTTCAAAAAGAGGATTTTCTTTTCTTTTATTTAAAAAAAAATTATATGTATAAAAATAAATAAATAAATAAATAAATAACACTTGTTCTTGGGATCTCCTTAGAAAAGAAGTTAATGGTAAAGCCATAAGTTGCAATATAAACCCACCATAGAGTGTGTGTCTGTTGAGTTCAGTGTTTCACTCGGTAATTTCAGTCTGGTATTGGGAAATAATTTAACAAATGTGAAATTGGGGAGGAAGGAAGTGAGGAAGAATAAAATCTCCAAAAATATAATTCTTGGAAGAAAAATTGCTAGCATTTTATTCGGTGATAACCTCGATTATTTTTCCCCGTATAGAGAGAGGAATTAAGAAACAAAAATAGATTTTTTTTTTTTTTTTTTTTTTTTTTTTTGCCAAGCTGATTTTAGTTCTCAGCATTGTAGAAAAGGTCTGCATGTACACGTACAAGCCTGTACATAGTGCTTTGTGTCTAGTCTTCAGACACCTGCCGTAGTAGCAATCACAGCCAAAAAGTGTTTGTTTCATTCTGTGTACAGGGAGGCAATAAAACTTTTCAGTAATTACACATTTGCTGTCATCATACCCAGACATCAAACTTTTGGGGGTTTTTAAAAGAGGCTGCAGGTAATATGGTTTTGAACTTCAGAAGAGAGATTTTAGGGCCTAGTAAATCCAAAAGTTTAAACCATAAATCAGGCCTGTAGAGGACATGGGCAGATAGCTTTGAGAATGCATACAGTCTGCTTTATTGCTCCGCAGTTTTGTGATAATGTCAGCATAGTGATCAGCTCTTTTATGTGGAACAAAAGAGTTATAAATAATAACCTTTGTAAAAGCCAGTTAACTGATGTTGAACACTCTCACAAGAAAGTCTGCCCCCATCCTTTTGGAGAAGTGTGCTACCTTAACGTTCACTCGACTCCTGCACGTCTCATCAAGAAGAGGCCTGAGAGAGGTCCAGTAGAGAGGTTCAGTGGTGTTTCTGAATCACATTGCCAATTGTTTAAGCTTCAGGGAACATTCTGGGACTTGGATGGAGTTTCATGCTCTGTTTTGAAGAGAGAGAATCATTAAAATAGGGAGATGAATGGTCCGCTCAACTCCAGATAAACATATCCTTACAAAAATTCCCATAGAAACTGATAGAATAATATATGCACTTAGCAGGATTTGGGAAGTGTGCTACAGACTTTATTAGAGAATTACATCACTTCTCTAAAATTCTGTTGCCACCCTGCTCTACTTTTTGTGTATAAAACAGTGTAACACAATTACAACTCTAAAGAAGGCCTTAGGGCACCTATACACATACTGGATGTCTGCTCTGATGCGTGCTAATTAGCATGTGTCAAACCAAACTCAATTTAATAGTCAGCTGGAGCATGCTGATTAATGCACTCCAGCAGCCTGTGCCTTGCATCTATTCAGCGTCTCCGGGCTTCAAAATGGTGGTGGGGCGCTTGAACTAAAGCTCATTGAATGAGCTTTAGTTCATGAGCCCCGGCTGCCATTTGGAAGTGCAGGATGCTGAATACACATGATGCTATGAGTGCTTTTATGTATGGAAAACCTTTAAAATAGAACAGTAATTGATTCTTTATGAAGAGGTCACACAATGGGAATCCAAGCCCAGCCCAGCAGAGGGATCTTGGCTCTTTGATTGTATCAAACGGCTGTCAGAAAAGCCCCGGAGAGACTGCTCAGACACTGTATTGATGGATGCGCACAGGCTCTGTTAGTGATCTTAGAGTTGTAGTAGGAAAATTGTCTTCTCGTGGACACCCTTTGACAAGACCTCACTTCTCCAGCTTCACAAAGTGTCCAGCATTTTAACTCACTTTCAGCTCTGACAGTCTTCAAATGCATTCACTATATATATGAGGTGTTTCAGAAACTAATGGCAATTTCAAAATAAAACAGTTTTATGTGCAGTAGTCATTTACAGGACCACATCACCTTTCTACATGGTTGTGAATAATTGGTGCATTACACGATGCTGCCGTCAATGTTCCCCTTTGTTGTGTGGTTTCCCCACTTCGTCACAGACACATAGCTTGGGCAGCCACTTTGCTGTTAGTTTCTGAAACACCCTCATGTTTAATAATTGTTTTAAAAAATAAGATGTGGTAGTCATATTTTAGGACCTACCAGCCCAAAGAGATCAAAGCCTTCTTATGATGAACTTTAAAAAAATTCATGATACAGAGAAACGTTTATTCCCTCTTTCGTACCGCACCTACAAATACATTCATTGTCCAGTCACCTAAGCTTGTCTGAGCCTACTGGTCTACCCAGAAGAGTTGTTTTGGTTTATTTTAATTAACTGTAGTTTTCAATCCTCATCGAAGTGTCCCTTTGGATAATGTTTAGGACACTTTTTAGACACAGGGTGAGCATTTAACTAGCTGCTATCCTTGCGTTTTGTTAAGGCAATTATGTACAGTAGCATTGCATAAGATACTAGCTTTGACTTGATATGCTTTTTATCATTCCCTGAACATTCAGTTCTACACCAACTGAAAAGCTAGAAGAAAAGGTTTTATATCATCATAAAAATGCCTAGATAGTGAGTAATCTGTGCACCTGAATTGCCAGTGGAAATTAATTTAATAAATGCTGTGTAAAATCTAAATCTTGATTCTGCGGGAAATGCGATACTTTTTTAATTCCTTTGTTTTCAGATACACAAGGTCGCTTCCTTGCCTTTCAGCCCAGCATAAAATCTTGATGAATCCTGTGTAATAAATATGTAGAAATAACTCATGTAACTCCCATTTCCTATTGCAGATGTCAGTGGAATAAATCGTAGGAAAGAGCTTATTGCCAGAAGTTTGATTTCCCTTCCCTCCCCCCAACCCAAGCTTTCATTTTACAGGACTGGGAGCTGAAACTGTTCACAATGGTTTTGCACAATTAAAATGTTTGAAATTGAAAATTTCTGTGGGTCATTTGGAATTTGAAAAATGGTCATGATTTTCCAATACAATACTTCAGTTTTTCAAGAGAGAATTTCAAAATGTGAGATTTTTATCTGGACAGATTTTCCTGCTGGTACAATGAGAAAACATAATTTCTGTGTATACCTGAATGTTGTTTTGCTAGCATGTTATTACAAGATTAGTTTCTGAAAGTTAAATGACATATAGTCAAATAGCCAATATTTTTGCATGAAACCATTCTATTCTAGGACTCTGAATTTCCATAATTGCTCATCTGGACTATTTTTAATAGAGTGAAACTTTACCTAGTTTAAAAAAAAAATTGAAAAGTTAAAAAGAACTACCCATATTAAAAGAAGAAAGAAACTTTACTAGAAGAAAACGTTGGCATTGCTCCCATCTTTGATATAGGACATGCTTGACTATATTTTATCATTTTCATGAAATACTGTGTTCTGCAACTATTTGAAGTAAAATAAAAATGTATTATTCAATTTGAAATGCTACAGCGTAGTTAAGAAATATGTTCATTATTATGTACATAAACCACCGTGATGAATGCAGTGTCCTAGAGAATTGGATAGTGCATCCATCATCAGGTTTTATGCTTATAGTATGGAACATCTCTCCACTATAAAATCATTTATCTTCTTTTTAGAAGCTGGTTGTGGTGAAGATTAATCTGTAAAAAACATGATACTGAAATGATGCGGCTCTTCACCAACAATAACAAAACACTTGTTCAGGCGTCTTTTGAGCTTGAGAACTTTATGAAACTATTTTATCCTTCAGACCTGTTCCCTTTCCTTCTTTTTTTAACATTCATATTGTTGGTGCCCAGTTACTGCATGCTATGAATTCCACAATGAATGCTGGTAACTTGAATGCCGAGATGTAGTCTTTTCCTGTTTGTGATCAGTCAATCTGCGAATACATTGAGAGCCTGCAGCAGCATTTGGTGCCAGGGCAATTTGGTGGCATTGGATGGTGAGTCGGATATAAAGAGGCACCCCCATAACCAGGAGCACCATGTGGCAGCAGGCAAAATAGGTGTTGGGATAAATTGGCAGTGTCCTTTTACAAGAGGAAGCCCCTCTTGGATCAGGCACCATTAATTTGGTACACCACTGCTCAAAGGTCACAACCCTTGTTCTAACCAGTGAACTGTTGGATAAGAGAAGGTAGAGAGAGAGAGGCAGTTTCTCTGCCCCCCCTCCCCCCCCACTTTGTATTTTGAAGAGAAGTGCAGCCACTGCTGCATTTTGGGATGGAAGTCCATCCCTTAGTTCTCTGCCGAGAGGTGGTGATCCTTGCCTGCTGTGCAGAGGGTGGTGTGAAGATTAATTAGATGTTTGGAATATGTAAAGAACTATCAATGGCACATTTTGGCAACCAGTTAACTTCCAGTATTTGTTTCCTATTTCGTTATGTTTTTTTACTAGTTCAAAGAGAATTCAAAGTTATGCTCTGTAATCCAGAACACCTGTACCTTTTAATGTAGGGACATTTGGATTTGAATCTCCAAAATGGAACCCCATTTATTTTTGAAACTGCATGGCCATGTTCCACAGTTCAAGATGTGGGTATAGGGGGAAATGGTTCAAGAAAAAGTTATCTTGTGACCACGTGCATGTTACTTGGAATAAAAATCTTGCAAGAGCTAGTATGTGTAGATGGAAAAGGGGTTCCCTGACAAATCTGAATGCTCATTCTTGATTTGGTCTCAGCCCAGTTCTAGAAGGGTTTTTTTTTAATCATTATTATTCTAACTTCTGTTTTAAAATAAACATTTTCCTTTGAATTAGTGTTCTAGTTTTCTAGAGATCCTGATAATATAGCATTGAATATTCTTCTCTACCTTTCTTCTTCTCTCTCTTTCAAATTTCCAAGTTCAGTTTGGTGGAAGAATTTGTTTTCAATCTTAGACAG